CGGCCAGCGAAACAAACAGGCCTTTGTTCGCCTGAAGCTACACACCTGAAGTGCCGAGACTCATCTGCCTTCAGTTTGTTTTTATTTCTTTATTTCTTTGGTTTGTTAAAGTTTGAGTCCGTTAAGTTACACTGGACTAATTCAGGAACGACCAAGTTCCATTTTAAGCCTTTTTCGTCGAGCCAACTTCACCGAGGTCAGACCAAGCCACGTGGTCTCGCCAGCTACAACCAAGGAAACCTGCAAACAGCCGAATTGCCAGACGGAGGAGGCGTTTTCAATCAGACACGGAGACCCCGAAGATCCTAGCAAAAAGCCGGATCGGCAGCTAGCGTGGGACCCTGCAACAGGCCAAAAGCAGGCTGTCGACAAGCAGTAAACTTAACACACGTCCTGTGATCAGATGTCCATTTTAACTCCTAAATAGCATTAGTTTACTTTCATTAGCTCTTCTATGCCGTAGAGTCAATGCTTCCCACAATCGACCTCCAGGCTCATTGTTCAGCAAATGTTTATGTTCCCTGTATCCAACCATCTTTTATCACCTTAGTTAGAGAATAAATTCACTGTAATATAATCAAGAGCTGTGTGTGTTGCCTATTTAGTTCCTGCCAAGAGAATTGACCCTTTAGATATGAGACTGACTGACTGATTTAAGATAATTGAGCGATTATATAACTAACTGATCACTAGTAATAATTGTATAATTATTCAAAACTACCTAGAGGTCGGAGACTCTAGGATTATAACAACTCCGGTGGTGCCCTTTACGAGGAAATTCTGATTTTATGAATAATAATTCATAATTGGGTATCAATTCTCATAAATTTATTAAAATGCATAACTAATAATTTAGGTCCACTACTAATGGCCCCGTGTGAGGCCTTGTGACATACTATAATAATAGACTACACACAGCCCTGATGCAGAGAAGTTATGAGAAAAGTTATTGAGGAAATTTTTCCCTCCAAAATTTTGCCACTGAAATAATTATCGCCCAGTAAGTTGCTCCCTAGAAACTCTCCTGTCTTCCCTCTTAACTTAACGTTAGTGATGAAAGTGTGTGTGAGTTTTGACCATGTTCTTTGTTGTGAAATGAAATGCTTTGTGCAACTTGTTTGGCCGCCGCGCCATCATTCTTTGTTGTTCAGTACAGAGCTGTAGTGAGCTGAGCTATGAGGACCGAGCTAATGTTAAACTGAATGCATTCCTGTAACGTTACCATATGAGAAATCTGAGCTAAAGCTACACAATCCCGCTGACGAGGGATGAAATGCCCTTTTGGTTGAGAGAAACTTAACCGATATTGATAATTTTAAGGCCTAATAAGAGGCAGACAGATTACAGTTGCGCTGTGCCAATGTGATTTGTTTGCGGCTATAAATAACAGTCTGACGCGCTGAGCCGTGGATTGTTATGTTATATGCAAAACTCCGGTATCCTGTTGAAATTAGCTACTTCAACAAATACAGCTGCCCGGCAGTGGAGTCACAGGCGTGAAGACGCCGAGTTTAGCCTGTAGCGTTGTACCTACCGAGCTAAGTTAACGCTAAATCGAAGCTTGAAAGCAAGCTGAGTCATTGAAACAAAGGAGCGAGTCCTTCCCCCATTTTGAGCGGGACTGGTGTCCGTCAGTGTTCTGATTTACTGCCGTTGCTGCAACGACGGTTTGCTAAC